CAGGGGCCTCCAGGGAGGAAGGCCCCCACCCCACACACACCAGGACATGCAGAGGAGGGCACAGTCTCCAGGCTGAGCCTTCCCTTACTAATATATGCATCCTCAGCGACTTGTCTCCCAGAGGCCTGGGTATATTCCCACTCCCCGAAGTCAGTCCAGGGGCTGCTCCTTCCTTCTTGCTCCCCTGGACCCTCCAGAATGCCTTCGTTAACGTGTTATTTTGTACTGCTTGCCCTGTAATGACTCTGTGGGTTTCCTCTTCTGCACCCCTTCCCCCACCTCACACACACCCTAGGTTTGAGCTCCCTGAAGATAGGAACTATGTCTGAATCTCTTCTCTGTCCCGCGGGCCTGGCATACATGTTAAGTGAAGAAATAAATAACTGAGTGAATGCTGACTCGTTTCCCACAGAAAAACTCTGCACACTCCCAATGTACTCAGGTTCAGCCGTCTCTCTCAGTCCTCTCCTCCTCACACACATACACATACTCCTGACCCTGAATCCCCTAAGGTCCCAGAGTTACAGCCCGATTGTTTCCTTTACTAATTTGTGGCTGATCTAGGGAAGTCCCAGGGCTCTCCTGAGAGTCTGAAAGGGGAGGAGGCTCTTAGCTCCTCGAAAGCCATATCAACTGGGCTCCATTTGGAACAGAAAAGGGCTTCCCTGGGAAGAACCTGGCTATGGGGAGGGTAGTAGGGTCCTGTGGTAACCTGAGAGCTGCTGTCCCAACCTGACCACGCCCTCTTGTGTCTGCTGTCCCTACTCCTGACCTGTGACGCTGTCAGGTGGGGGGTGGTTGTGGCCTTGAGGCTGGCTGGCTGGCAGAGACAGCCAGATTTAGAAGTCATTTTCGCAGCAGGGAGCCTCCAGCCTGCCACCCACAGGGCCCTGCAGAGCCAGTCTCAGATATGGCTCATCAAGGGCTGCCCCCAGACCTGCAGTCACTCCTCCCCTTCTCCCCAGATCTTTAGCAGCTGGTGCTGACTCCACTCTTAGCAAAGATGGAGGAAGTCCTGGGGGATGGGAGCATGTTTCATTGACACCCTGACCACCCAAGTGCTCCCAGTATATCATTCACCCATTCAAGGGGCTTGTCTCCACCCCAGGGATCCCCTCTTCTCTGGATCTGGCCTCTGCTGCCTCTCCCTCCTCTTCCCTATTCTCACGTTCCCATACCCACAACACTAATGAAATAGCCCTAGAGAGAAATAATCATCAGAACTTAACACCCTGGCTGGTTTGGGTTTTGCTCAGTGATTAGAGCATGGGCCTGGGCCTGCAGACAGAAGGGTCCTGGGTTTGATTCCCTGTCAAGGGCAAGTACCTGCGTTGTAGGTTTGATTCCTAGTCCTGGTCAGGGAGCATGCAGAAGGCAATCAGTCTCAATGGATGTGTCTCTCACATTGATGCTCCTCTCTCTTCCTCCCTCTCCCTCCCTCCCTTCCACTCTCTCTAAAAATCAATGGGGGAAAAATATCCTGGGGTAAGGATTAACAACAACAAAACTTAACGTTTATGTATCACTTACTAGGTACCAGGCATTGTTCTCAGTGTTTTACATATTGAATCATTTATCCTCCCAACAAGCCTATGAAAAGAACACTATTAATAACCCAGTTTTATAACTGACACCAAGACACAGAGAGGTTGAGTAACTTGCCAAAGTCACACAGCTAGTATGAAATAGAGGCAAGATTTAAACCCAAGCTCCAGAGTCTATGTCCTAAACACAAGACTACCTTAGTTCTCTGACAATGGCAGAGAGAAGCAGAGGTAGGGGGAGAGGAGGAAGAGGCAGCAGAGGTCAGATCCAGTGTGGGTAAGCCCTCAGAAACTGGCCTCCTGGATGTTCAGCCTCAAAGAGGCTCAGGCAGCATGGTGGAGCCCAACTCCACAGTGCCAGCCCCTCCACTATCCCATGCAGCTCACTTCTTCCACCAGCCTCAGAGCCCTGCAGGCCCTGGGCTGTAGCGCAATCCAGGCAGCTGCTGTCCCCACTGCCCTGGCTTTCCTCTCTCCCTCCCAGCCTGAAGTCCAGCCTCTTCTCAAGCCCAGAGATCAAAGGCACAAACTCCTCAGCTGGACCAGGCTCACCCCGAACCGGCCTCAGTTTTCATCCCTTCCTTTATCTTCCACAACTCCCCTAAATGTACCCTCAACTTCAGTCAAATCAGATCCGTTCCCTTATGGCCATGCCTTATTTTTGCTGATCCCTCTATTGCTGATCCCCCTTTCCCCAAATTTGGTATTTATTTATTTATTTATTTATTTATTTATTTATTTATTTATTTATTTAATTTTTATCCCTTAAAGTACTTAACACTTATCGCTCATTACTATCATTATTTATGTGTTTTCACCTTCACCCCTTGTCAGGCAGGCCTTCCTCATCTCTTCCCTGGAGCCCAGCCCAACTCCTGGTTCCTCTCAGGTGCTCAGTAAATGCTCAATCCTTAGAACCAGGAGTAGACAGAATTGTAGGTGAAAGAGAGACAGACCTCAGGAACCTCTGACCTCTGCTCAAGGTGCCCACCACGACCTCTACCTCTTCTGCCAGGAGCTAACTGCAAACCTAGCAGTGTGGGTTTCAGGCAGGTTCTGGGACAGACCTTCCCTGGGTGACTGTGACCAGCGTTCTCCCCTCAGGTTCAGAGGCCCAAAGAGGACCTCCCTCCAGCTCCGACGAACCAAGGCCCGGCAGCCAGCTTAGGGTCCAGCCCCGCGGCCTCCCAGGTGACCCAGCCCCCTCCCCGTCCTGCCCAGTCTCTCCAGGTGCGGGTGGAGAGTGACATGGAGATAATTGGAGACCAAAACCGTAAGTGGTTTGAGAGCGGGACTGGTGATCTGAACGCTGAGCCTGAGTTGGAG